TTTATATGGTGTATTCGTTCAAAAATATATCAGCTTCTCAAACCATATGAAATTTCATGTAAGAATTTCAAAAAAAATTGAATGAAAAAAAATCAATATTAACTACAACTATTTAATAAACATCTGGGAATTGTCATTGTTTTTTTATAATTAAAGTCCGAAAACTTTTTCATCAGTTTCATTATAAATGGACAATTTTTCACTGATTAGTATTACTTCTTTACATCATTATTTTATAAGATAATTATGATCAATACTCTAATTCTGCAGGTTCGAAAAATGCTTTAAATGTGCAAAACGATAGACAATCGTTGCTATGAAAAATGTTTTGATTATCAGCATATTATTAATTGTTCACTAATCGCGTTATTTCTAATGAACAATACAAAGTTGTAATCGGTAGAATTTTTCCTTACCGGTACCGGTTTAACTGGTCAGATCGCACCGGACCAGCCGATGTACTAGTGCAGAGAGTGAATCGACCTGACTTTTTCTGAATCGAGTTCGGTTCGGGTTCGGTTATGTTCGAGTTTATTTTTGAAAAATTGATTCGGGTTCGGTTCGGTTTGACTCGTCTTTAAAAGATCAGTTTGGGTTCGGTTCAATTCGAGTAGCATTAGTTCCATCTGATCACAAGTACACCACAGGTGAAAACTTATTTCTCAGACGATCAACAGCGTCACATTAGAGCCTATATTTGCATGAATTACCCGTAATTCATATATTTGTGGGTCAAAATTTATTTTTAATATTAATACATGAGAATCAACAGTGTTTTAGTGTTGATATTAATCTCACATTACCATCCACGATTATTCATTACACTTTAGAAAAATAGCAAATTTACGAAAGAAAAGAAGAAAAGAATTATGTCACATAGAAGTAATTCATCATCATAAACAGAATTAATGCAACTCCTATGAGGAGAACAAAAAAGAGTGCTATACACGGAAATTAAATTAAGCATCTAAAACAAACAATAGAAGTTCGTTTTATCTTCACCGACGCCATGATCTTTCTCAGATCAACGATCGTTCAATCAATCATTTTTTATTTAATGTTAGACTGCGTTGAACTATTTCTCAGAAAATTAGCTCAAGTTCGGTTCGAACCAAGTTGAACTGAACCGTTATAGATCGATTCGTTTTCGCTCTCTGTACCAGTACAAGTCATTCTTCTGTTTTCTGACCATTTAACAAACAAAATAACCCTTGGATGAGTCATATCTTTCTTCTAACCACTACAGCTATGATATAAAAGTACTCTTCCGCCATATTACAGTGCTTTTTACTATTTGCTTTCATATGTTTTTTGTTTCTAGATATCTATTGGTGGACAGAACACTTCATACGACTATAAATTCTATGTTAATTTTTCAATTTGATTAACGATTCCTCAGATATGGGCACTATTAATTACTCGTATACTTAATTTACCTTGCATACTATACTCGCTTTGTCATCTTTCATATCTGCGAGGAATATATGCAATAGATAGTAGGAAATACAAATAAACTTATGACAAACTACAATGCTAAACAGTTACTCGATTTTGTTTGAACAACAGAACGTCATACTCACGCACCGTGAAGAACTATCGTATAAGCAGATGGACATGTAGTTTTTTTGCTTAGGAATGCCTCCCATTTGACTGGAAATGATAGTATACCATTTAGAAAATCGTTTTTAAGAAAAAAATTTTAAAAAAATATGGCTGAGGAACCTCAGCCTTGTTTTTTTCGAAAAATGCTTTTTTTTTAAAACATGTTGAACTACATATGATCTGATGTAGTTTGATGCGCTGATTTCGAATATTATCTTAGTTTTTCTTCAAAGTGCAGTATGAATGCCTAAAACTGGATTTTTCGGTCAAAAATCTGTATCGGTCGTTTTCCGTCAAATTCCACCAAAAAATGACTCTTTTTATATATGGTCTGATGCAGCTTGAAGAGCTGATTCTGAATATCGCCTTAGTTTTCTTTCAAAGCCTATTACAGATGTCTAAAATCGAATTTCTGTCTGGTGACCTCGCTTTTTTGGGCACCCTCAAAAATAGTCTAGGAAAGGTATCATGAGTTGGCGCTACTACCATAATTAGGATACATATGGATGTATACGTGGTAAGAATACGCGCTTGATTAAATCTGATCTCTTTGTAGAATTTTTAATTTACGAAACGGTAGGTTTTTATTATAGAGACTCCTTGTTTTCTATTCTATTTTAAATTGAGTTACGATAATTTTTTTACCATAAAGTCCATAGGTGAGCAAACTTTTTGCGATACTTTTCGACGTGGATTATTGTGTTATATTGTCGAGCGACTTGACTTTCCTTATTTATGCTGATTTCTGGGCCCAAGTCTTGGCAGGCTCTTTTCTTGAGCTCTATAAAACTTTGAGAATCGCTATTTAAGGAAATGATAGATCACATATGCATGTATCTACAAAAATGGTTAGATTCTGTAAAAGAATAATTTCTTATAGGTCTGTCTGGCTTCCCACTGTGAGGAGATATTCGAGTTTTACTGTACTTAGAGTGTATGTAGGATGCCTACAATTCAAAATTTCAGCAGAATTTGTTTTTTTTGTGATGGTTGGATAGAGGTCATCGAGTTGCATTAGAAAAAGTGCGCTTCAAACTTTAAAAAAACATTCTAAAAAAATTTTCTGAAAGGTCGGAAGTTGGAGTCTATTTTCCCTTTTATTTGAAAATAAGTGCAACTTGGACTCTTCGTCTAAAACTTTTTAAAAAATCTTTTTTTTAAAGTTTGAAGCATACTTTTTCTAATGTAACTCGACGAACTCTATCCAATCATCACAAAAAAAGAAGAAATAAATTCTGCTGAAATTTTTGAATTGTAGACATTCTACATACACTGTAAATACAATAAAACTTGAATATCTTCCTCTAGGCAAGTCAAGGACCGCTAATGTTTTAACCTTATTAGTTTGGTGATGAGAACTTCCATTTGACTCGAATATGTTAATTATTTTTATCATCAACACAAACATCTCCATTGTCGATGCGACCTGCTTATGAACCCAATATGAGTTCAAATGGCGGGTATCATCTCTGATGGTTCCCGCGTCAGTGTTTGTAAAACTGACCGTTAGTTGCAATAATGCACTTGGAGAACGTTGTTGTCGACCTTGGAAAAATAATAGTTTTTTGAAGATTTTAGTCGACAGGGATATCTTGTTAATTAATAAAACATCGATAAAAATAACTATTCTCGAGAATAACCGGTAATATAAGTACTCACATATTGGATTTATTTCGATTTTTAACAGTATTTGCTATAATGCGAGTATTTTATGTTGTCGGTATCCAACTAAATTGTGCTCCAATATATGTAGCTTTTGGCTTTAACAATAAGATGCTGTGAAGCTTTGCACATGGCTTCATCAAAAACGAGATACAAAGTTTGCACAAGATAATATGTGGGCGCTTGTGAGAAAATGAGCAAATGTTGTTATTGTTTTTGCAACATTGAAGAACGTTCTCCTCCTCACGCTTACCTCCAAGATACCAATACGTTTGAATTAAAATGTAACGCAGTTTGTTTCTCGGATTTAGATTTAAATTGGGAATATTATTTGTGATCAGTAAAATAAATGAAATGATCAGTAAATTAAATGGATGATCAATAATTAAATGAAGGATCAATAAGTTATTTGAAAGATCAGTTATTGAAATGATTCGGTTTTTATATAAATTTAAAAATTAATAAATAAAATTTATTAACAGTCGATTATATTAGGGTGTGGGTGTGGATACAGATCACAAAGGTACCGAAACCCACACCACGCACCCACATCCCACATCCTAACAACGATTTGAAAAATTAGACTTAAGTTCAAACGATAAAATACAAATAAAGCACAACACAGTAAATCAGAAGCCATAAAATAAAAAAACAATAAAACGAAGATAAAAATAAATAACATAAAATAAAAAATTTATATTCACTGTTGATTGCTTTTATCCTACACCAAAATCTAAAAGAAAAGAAAATAAAATAAAGTAAAACCAACAAAATAAACTAAATGAAATAAACGACGGGCCTTTTACACTACATTGCCTCAAGATATTTGTTTGATCACAAAGCAAGCAAGTATAAAAATACCTAAAAGAAAACAAAACAAAAGAAAAATTAAATTAAATTATAATCAAGTATCTCTAGATATTTTTCTAGCATTGAATTTCATCGAATCTAACGTGAGAAATTCACGGATAATAATGACTTGCGACAGTCGAATCCGATAGAGTGAATTTAACCTGAGTTGCTTTTCCGATATGCTGTTGTTTATAGCACAGTGAAGCTAACTAGACAATCAAATCTTATTAAGAGTTATTTTCCAGCACATGCTCGTGTTTTTGCAAGATATTTGTGGACTACTCAGTATGTAAAGACACATATAAACAACAAGAGTTAATGACATTTGAGTGCTTGGACAAAATCTTTTGTTCTGCATGTAAAGCAACCATTCCATTAAATAGTATCATTTGCAAGTTTACTGAATGAGAAGGAAGATTGGAAAAACAAGGTACATTAAAAAAAGAACACAAGAATAAAATGAGTATTGTATCATCTTTCTCTTCACTGGACCGAATACGATGTTACTCGCAGAGAATCATGATTATATGTCGTTTGGATTACAGTATGTCACGCCTTATTAAGAAGAAAAAAAATACTGAAATGATCATGCGTAAAATGCAGACTAAACGAGCAATGATGCAAATGTCAATAGTGGGTTAAACGTGTGTTAAATCTATCATTTGAGTGTGACATCATCATAGTATTAATAATGCTAAGTCTTCTTCATTTCATATGTTTTTTTTTGTGAATTTGCTGGATTTCAATCGATTTTTTATGATACAGATCCTTTTCACTTTGATTGTTTGCATTACTTTTCAATCCATTCATATATTCCCGATATAATCAAGTATTGTATTCGTCCGACTGATAATGAGAATCCGAGGATGATCGATTTTTTCAATATGAGTCATCAAAATTTTACTTTTGACGAATTACATCGTTTGAATGTGACTTCACATGAACTCCTCTTATGGTCATCTTCAATCGATCTTGCTGAACGATATCAATATTATATCGATCAACCGACTAAATCTATTCGATTGAATGAACAATTCTTCAATTGCACACCACCATGGTTCGGATCTCGTTGCCAGTATTCATTCAAATTAGTGTCAAAATTTGCCGAAACAATATTAAATATTCAGTGGAAATCTCATATGACTTACGCTATCACTCATCGAACATGTTACATTCTGCTAGAATGTGATCGTGATGCTGCATCAATGTGCCTCGATTGGCGTGAAATATGTGACGGTCAAATTGATTGTTTCAATGATGGTATTGATGAAAATCAATGTATGTTTCGAATTAGAAATTAATGAATGTAATGAAAACGAACGACGATGTCATAATGGATTATGCATTCCGAAAACGTTTTGGAACAACGACGTTGATGAGGCCGAATGTCTTGATAAATCAGATTTATTGGCTATGCCTGATTGTCCGGATATGTATCTCCAATTTAGTATTTTTGACTATGCAGAATATGCATGTTGACCCGATGAAGGTCGATTTCCATGTGGCAATGGACAATGTGTAGAAGATTTTGGTGAATGTTACAGTGGACGGCATCTCCTGTTGACTGAATCAGTTAGTATTCAAGGTAATCTGTCATACGATTGCTGGATAGCTATGGTTTGTCTTAGTAAAATCACCAATCAAGTCAATGAAGTATCATGTGAACAATTTGTTAACCTGTCTCAGATTCTTCCTCGACTAGAGACTTGTGAATATCCTATTCAATTTCCAACTCTTCCTGTGCTCTTAGGTCATGTGCGCTTTTTATACCATCCTAAACAGATTTTCAATATCAGTATCAAATTAGCTCTTGTACCCGATTATGTTTGTTATGATGAACAGTTATGTGATTTTCTCACACCTATATTTCATTTTTCATTTTATTGCTCTATTTTTTACTAATTTATTCTCTGCTCTTTTCATTATATTCACCATGACTCGTCAACGAGCATTGACACAAACTCGACAAAGTTATCAACAACAAGTACTTGAACAATTCCATGAGCACAAACAACTTGTTATCAGTCCCATTGTGTTAGTCCTTCTGTCATTTCCTCGATTTCTAATCTCATTATTTTCGGGATGTACGAAAGTGTCTCGAAATCCCTGGTTATATCTGTCAGGCTACTTT